TCTCTGTCAAATAAATAAATAAAATCTTTAAAAAATAAAAATAAAAACTGGCCCTTGAAGAGTACATGGAAAATCAAGAGACAAACATGCATACAAGTAATATGCTGTTTGAATTATAGAAAATACATAGTAAAACACTAAAGCCTGTGAGTTTCCTCTTGCAGCTTTATAATAACCTGCAGAAGTGAGTCATTTTTTCTTCCCCCAAAAGGGTTAATGATCTCTTTTCATTTCTTGATTCTAACCATCCAGATATTTTCAGGAATTTGACCTAGTTTGAAAGGTGGAGGGTCCTGCCTGTTCTGTTCCACTTTCTTATATAGACTGTGTTACAGATATGTTTATTCTTAGTCTAAAATTAAATGCTTCTGTCACTGAGGGGTTAGAGGGAAAAAGAATCCCTATTTCCATAATCAACCATGAAAATTTTCATGATCTAATTGGCCCCTCACAAGAAATGCAGATTCATTGGAAGGTAGCTTTACTGTTTACTTGGCCCACAAAGAATCTATGCAGCAAGGCAAAATGCGTATCATTTTTATGGACTGTTCTTCATGCACTTATACTGAGGGGAGTCATATCAGGTGCACTGGCGTCCCAGGCTCTCTGTTATTTATTTCCTGAACCCCTGCCCCCTTACTGCCACCATTCCTTCTTCCAATCTACTTTCATACTGCCAATTAAACTAGCTCCGTATAAAAAGCCATACGGTGTGTGTGTGTGTGTGTGTGTGTGTGTGTGTGTGTGTGTGTGTGTAGGAAGGGGAGTCCTTTATTTTCTATAGAATAAAAACCCAAACTTTGCATCTGCTTTTTTCCCCCTTCTTCTTTCCCTCTTTCACTTTTCCTTCCTTCCTTCCTTTCTTCCCTCCCTCCCTTCTTTCATCTTTCCTTCTTCCCTCCTCCTTTGTTTCCTTCCTTCATCGCAGCTGTCCCTCCTTCCCTCAATATTAAGTCTAAAAGACATTAGGTCTTAATTAAGGAGGGGAGATGTTAGCATCTTAGGGAAAGTCAGAGCCCAAGCAGGGTAAGAACACTATCTCTGCAGGTAGAAGCAGCCAGAGTGGATGACACAATGGATGGTGTGAGCCCAGTGGGGCTGAGGGGGGCACTTTCGTGAAGCTGGGGTGGGAGAGGAGGCAACAGCGAAAGAGGATTGGTTACTAACAGGAGAATAAATCAAATGAGGGATTAGCACCTATATTTAGAATAATATACATAGAATACTATATGTAGGGAGCCAGGTTTCTCACTGATGGAGAAATAAATTACAAATATGAAAAGGAAGGAAACAAAACTAAATCCTATAGTATTCAGTTCAAACTGGAGATACTAACATAAACTCATGGTTTTACATGTAGACTTAAATACAGTTGGTGAGGCGTGTGAACATGTACAGAGAATTAGGCAAATAGTATATAAACATGCATATATTGTGTAGATCTACCCGCTGAGGCCTAGAAGCAGCAACATTTCAGAGCTTGGCTTCTAAATATTATTATGCACTAAAAGGAACCAGGGCTCCGTGGAGAAATGACTCATTCTGGGACGTGGGATGTATAGGTCCAAATGAACCTGGAGTGCTTTGCTGTGCCAAAAAGTAAGAAGGTGGTCAAAGAAGGATGGGGACGAGTCAAAGGGATATATGTGAAGGAGCACTCATGGGCCAAATCTTGGGCAATGTGAACATCAAATAAATTATGATAAGAAAAGGCTGTAATCCATTGAATAAAATAACAACCCATGAACCTGTACTAATATAAATGAATAAATAAATAAATAAATAGATGGAGAACAAAGTTTTTACTTACAATGGAATGTCAGCTGATGACTATACAAGGAAGACAGAGATATAAAAATTACAATTTGGGAATCCACACAGTAATAATTAATTTACCCAAGATACATCAAGTACCAAAATTAGCATGAAAGTTTGATGAGGAATGGGATGTTGGCAATAGCTTCAAGTTGCTCCTCATAAAATACTCGTTGATTTAAAGGGGGAAAGAAGTAAGTCTACAGTGGAGAAACTTGGCAAAAAAATCTTAAGCAACCAAAGTTAACATCACAATGTTATCATAATGAGACAAATATAAATTACAAACCACCTGTCAGGATGCAATGAGACCACAGCATCACTTTTGTGGTACTTCTGTCTACCTCCTTTCCCAAAAGTATATCCCGAATCAAATCATGAGGAAACAGAAAAACTCCCAGTTATGAAACATTCTACAAAACAGACTTATTTTTTAAAGTGTCAAACTATTGTGACTGAATGAAATTGAGCATTGGGGAGAATAAAGTTGAATCAGTGAAATAAGTTTACCATAAAGTATCATCTATACAAGCCTGGTTTTATTCCAATAAAGGGCTATGAGATTTGTGATGAATGGTTTGCAATTATTTATGTGTACTCTCATTTTTCTCTTCTCCCTAACTATCCCTGTTTACTTGTTGAACTGCTTTCAAGACAGTTTTTGAGGACCAGATCTGTATACAGAACTCTGCATTGCTGAGTGTCAACAGGAAAACTACGGTTTCTCAAAAATGCTTTCTCTACTTATGATTTAATTGATCTTTAAGGTTGTTAGAAAAACTGGAAATGTATTTGCATGTATTTTTAAAGATTAGAAAACTTGAAGTTATTTTTTCTTTATATATGATTTATTTGGTTCATAAGTAAATGACTTTTAGAAAATTAATGCAATCCTTTCTTTTGTCCTAGTAATATCTTATGCTCTCATGCTTTGTATTTTATGAACTCTGCACAACACTCCTGTGAAGTAGGTTGGACAGGAGTAAAGACTCTTTCACGTACAAATGATTTTTAAAAAATTAACTCAAGACAATTTAAGCAAATAAAACAATGTTTTTGCTTAGGTAAGTGAGAAGTCTAGATCTTTCTCCCGTCTATGGCTGAATCTAAAGACTCAAATGACATCATCAGGGTCCAGCATTCTATTGTTCAGATCTGTTTTCTTTTATATGTTACCCTCATTCTCTCCCACTGCAGACAGGTCTTCTGCAAGTTGCTGGAGAAGATGGCTAATAGCAGCTTTAATTTCACATCATCCCAATATAAAGACACTAAATGCAGGAGATAGCATTCTTTACCGGCTCTAGCTGAAAAATCTTTAGAGGAGGACTGTAATTATCAGCTCAACCAGGACAACTTAATGGGAGAAGAATTGTTCTCCGGAAAGGATTCTGAGCAGAAAATGGATGTTCTCTGGAGTGGACATATCCTCTGAATGGTCATGTACATATGGGAAAGGGAAGCACAGAGAAATAAAGTAACTTTTTCATAATCACACTACTGGTTGGTGAGAAAGGTAAACCAGAAATCTATGACGCCTCACTCACACTTCAGATAATACCTCTGCATTTGCCTATATAACCATGCCATTTCTTTGGTGTATGTGTCTTTATTTAACCATTTCAAAATTTTAAAAAAGGCCCATAAATTTTTGTGAATACTATAATGTCATTCCATCTATTTCTTTGTCTTCCATATATACATCAATAACTTCACATTCAAGGAACCATACTTCTACCTGCCTTATTTGCTTTAATATTTGTGGATGACTCAGGCCTAGTAAAAGGATCTGATGATGATTTTCTGTAGCTTCAGCTTTATTTTGGTTTTGCCCCCAAACATTATGGGCATTTTATATTAGCATTTTAAGGTGTTTTTAAAAAGTCACTCTTAGAATACAAAATTTGAATAAACATACATTGGCAGGTAATTATTCCTCTTTCCTCCATATATGCCCTACTTTTTTGTGATAGACATAAACACAATTACATGATTTACTGTCAAAGTGCCTCATCTTCCTATAAGGAGGCCAGTGGCTGACTTGGAGGAAAGAAAATTTGAGCCAGGGCCAACCCACACAGATCCTAGTTTGGTTTTGTCCACTACTAGTTTTGTAGACGCCAGCCAGCAGCTTCAAATATGAGCCTTTAGTAGTATCTTCCTTGAAAAAGGGAGTGGTATTACGGCCTTATTTTGATACTTAGAATGTAGACTAAATTCTTATAATAAACGGATATATGTAAATACTTCTACATTTGTTTAAAATCTGGCTTTCCTATGAACTCATCAAAATAAGTTCAGAAATGCATGAAAACTGTTACTTTAATGTAGAACTCCTCTTGGTAGAATTGAGTATATTTTCTAGAAAAACTCAAAATGTCTTAATTGAGAAATACAAATTCACAACCAGAAGGCAAAAAAAAAAAAAAAAAAAAAAAAAAAGTTTCTCAGTTTCTCTACGTTCCCTGACACTTCTTTTCTTTTCATATTTTCTTATGCATGTTCTGTATTGTTAGCAATATTCTTTTTGAAGGAAAGGGGGAAACCATGCCATCTTCTCGTTCATTACAAACGTTCTCTCCGGACCTTATAGTTCCCCATCCCTCCCAGCCACACACAAGGTTCTCTGCACGCCCTGGACTGCCCCGACGCCATCCAGAGGCGCCCAGCGCCACCTCCTGGGAGCGTGGGCAGATGCAGCCGGGAATCTGCGGCTGAGGACCCACGGGGTGACGGACTTCTCGGCTCGGAACCTCAGAAATGCCTCAGTGCTTTCTGTACACATACCTACCCACCCGGGAAATCCAGACTTGGCCGCATCTCCAACGCCCTTAGCTCGCCGGAGCCCAGTTTTGGTCCTCAATGCTGCCTAAAGAAAGGGATGCTCTTGGGGCGGGTTTTCCCATGGTGGGTGGAACTTCGCTCTAGGACGGGGGGCGGGGGGCGGGGGGGAGAAGGGCTTCCCTACGTTTAAAAGATACGTTAGAGAGTTAGCTCTGTGGGCGGGGCTACGTTACGAGGGTGGGAACCCGCGTGTGATCGGAAATACGTTTGGCGGGCGGGGCTTCGTGTAGTCAGGTCCGAGCTCTGTGGGTGGGACTCCGCTCGGCGGGTGGGGCTTCACCCGGTGGGCGGAATTACGGCCTGTGGGAAGAATTTTGACTGGCTCCTTTCCTCCCCGGAACATCCGGAAGATCCTGTGGGTGTAGATGGCGTCACCCGGAGCGTGAGTTGTTGCACGAGGATATTGAAGGTACGGTGAGGGGTTAATAAACTATTTGGCAGACTGGTGTGCAGTTTTCGGGGCTCAGGACAGGACTGGTGGGTCTCGTGTCAGTGAGGCCCGAAGGCTGGGCTCGGTCGCGGTCGGCCTCAAGCAATCCTAGTGGGCAGCGGGCCTGCTGGCCCAGGCCTGAAACCCTGGTGCCTTTTGAGCCTTAAGCCCTTGTCAGGGTACCAGTTTTTCGTTGTGTCTCTTGTCATCCCAGTTTTCACGTTGCTCTCAGAATTTCAATATTGCCGCAGGCCCCCAAGATATTCCCTTCTCCAAGAACCTTTCTCAAGTCCCCAACTCTGGTGGACTTCTCCCTCTTGTGTCCCAATTTTATGCTTCTTCTGGCAAGACGTATCATGTGTCTGTGTTTGTATCACATACATGTATGTATATCACTTTTTGTATATCTGTCACTTTTATACCACACCTGGCACATTGTAAATTGTTGTTAATGAATACTACATAAGTGATGGGATTTTGGTTACTGTTGGAAGGATCTTAGATTATTTAATTGCAGGGATATGATGTGTATTTTCTAATTCCTCTGTAGTAATCGCGAATTTCCTACTGTGCTCATGTTTGTTTGTTTTAGGTAGGAGTACCATTGGTGTTTGTAAGCATTGTTGACTCTGAGTAGTTTACGGAAGCTAGACACTGAAGGAGGATATGCATTTCAGTGGAGAGATACAAGTTGAGCAAAGGAAAGGAGGAATATGCAAAATATCTTTGGAGAGCAGTTAGTAGACTGGGATGGGTGTGTACAGAGAGGCGGCAGGTTATGTTTGACATATTTATCTTTGGTTTGGGGTTCCAGCAGTAATATACCAGGACAAACCACCCTGCCCCTAATGCATTGTTAGAGTCAAAGTTTTTAATATTGGGAAGGTTCATCACATAGCACAAGGCATAGACTTGAATGCACTTGCCTTAAGCCAGGGGTTGGCAGTCTTTCTGAATGGACCAGATGTTTGTTAAATAAATAAATGAATATTGGGCTTTGTGGACCACAGTTGTAGCAGGGAGGTAGCCACAGACAATACATAATCAAATGGACATAGCTGTGTTTTACTGCGACTTTACTTAGAGACAGGTGCCTGACTAATTTGGTCCATTGGTATAGTTTGCCAGTTTATGGTCTAACCAAATAGACCTAGGGACTACAGCAGTACTCTAGTCCTGAACTATTCAGTACTGCATGATGTTTGTTTATACATGAGAAGCCATATCACATAATTTTAACTCTGGATCTAGTCTTCCTGGCTTTGAATCCTGTCACTTCTTGATTAATGAGAGTGTGACATTGGGCAAATTAACCTCTTTGCATCAGTTTTATTTGTAAAATAGGGATAATAGTACACCCCACAAAATGTTGTGCAGAGTAAATTAGTTAAAGCATATAAAATGTTCACACAGTGGTTATACACATATTATAAGCTCAACAAATCTTAATATTTTTTAAAATTTTCCTCATATGCATTGTTAAAGCAGATTTAAGACATGTTTTTAAGGTAGGATTTACAGACTCAGTGCGTGTTTAGCTACAGAGCAAAGAAAGTATGTAAAGTTTCAAGACAAGAGCCATTCACGTAAAGGTGATATGGAAGTTGTGAAGGTAATTTAAGGTAGGAAGTTAGGATTAAGGACTCATTTTGAAGAAGTGTACATAGGAGAGAAAGTGAGGCAAGTGAAAAGGAGTGAAAAAGGAGAAAGCAGACAGGAGTCCATCCTAAAGCAGGATGATAGGAACCAAAATGGTAAAGTAGCATGTCTACTAGCAGGATGGATGGTGATAGTTAACATTGTCAGATGCTGCAAAGAGCTGAGAAAGCGATTGTGTTGATAGTATTAACAAATTCAGCCAGCAGAAATTAATGTGGTACTTCCTGTGGGCCAGGTATTACAGATAAAAGGATTAGATACATATTCTGCACTCAAACAGCAGAAAACCTAGTAGTGACGAAAGACATGGAAATAATTTAACACATGCAGGAACTTTAAAAACAATCAGGAATAAAATGGAGTTTCTTAGACTAAATTGGTATCTTTACTATAAAAACTTAAGTTGATTTATAGTTCATAAATGTGGGCAACTTAATTGAGCTCCTTTTCTTTTTTTTACCTAGACAATGGCTAAGAACAAACTAAGAGGGCAGAAGTCCAGGAATGTATTTCATATAGCCAGCCAAAAAAACTTTAAGTCTAAAAACAAAGCAAAACCAGTTACCACTAACCTTAAGAAGGTAAGTATTAGCTAAGCACTCTGACTTTATTGTTTACAAGCAAAGCATAATTGTAAAGCCACTGGAAAACTGACTGCTATTATTTAAAACAGGTTCTTAGCCTTTCTCACAAAGGAAAGATGATTTTAAACATTTATTTTTTAAAAAATGAAAAAAAATTTACCTCCCTTTCTTGATGTGGATGTATGAAAAAAAAAAAAGGCACTTTAATTGCAAATGCATGAGGCTCCAAAGAACAGTTTCTGGTTTGTTTTGTTTTTTTTTTAAAGATTATCAAAATAAGTTTTAAAAGCTTTATCAGAATATAGAAATTATCAAAAACCATGGTATGGGAAACAGTTCTTATCTCTGAACTCAAATATATTCAAGAACCTCTTAACAGAAGCAAGACAGAAAATGCTGGTCAGCATTCATTCTTTTTCTCCTCAGTGATTCTTACCTCCCTGAAGATACCTACAACTCAAACAAAAACCTATAAAATAAGATAGATATTTTCTTTCTTAAAATGCAAAATTTGAAAAGAAAGTTTTCTTTTTTGTGTTTTGTTTTGTTTTTTTAAAAATATTTGGGAAATGGGAAATTTCATTGAGATTAAGTAGATTCTTTAAGAAAATTCTTCAAAGAAATGTTTTCAAGTTTAAGTAGTAGGTGGAGTCAGCTCTTTAGGGCCTAGTAGTTGTCATAATAGTGATAGAAATGTAACATTTCATCTTTCAGTTTTCATGAACTATCTACGCTTTTTGATCAAGCATTTTTATGACTTAGTAAATGCTATAAAGAAAATAAAGCTAGGTGTTATGATAAAGGTTGACACTGAAGCCAAGATCCAGATGATAAGGACCAAGTAATCTAAAGTTCTGTTAAGTGTTGGGAGCAGCATATTCTAGGCAGAGAAAAGCAAATACAAAGATCCCAAGCTAGGGGAAAACTTGGTGTATTTGACAGGAGATCATTTTGTGTGAATAGAAGTACTAGAAGTTTTATGTATGCTAATGGAGAAATCTAAGAGAGGGAAATCTGGATAGGCAGGCTGGTTGGAGAAATAATCTAATAGTTTTCACAGAAAGTGGCCTAACTTCCTAAGTGGAGGTTGTAAGATTGCCAGGTACTATATAAATTGTAAATTAAAGTTTGTGGTCATGAACTTAAAGTGAAGCCAGCCAGTCAGTCACGATTTCCTCAGTTTTAGGCTCAGAAAAAGCTGTCAGTTGAATTTAACTAGGTTGCCAAGCAGCTTTAATTAAGGGAGAGAAGAGAAGGAAAGTTAAGAGAGTATAAAGAAGGGATTGACCAAATAGTGCTCATGGAATCTCTGGTGGCTAAAGGAAAAAGGATATGAAAATGTGAAAAATAGTGACATTGGTGGGAGACAGTTTCAGTAAGACTCAAGAATTGTTAATGTTAGCAAACTAAGTGAACTAGAGAAACAGGATATGGTGCAGTTACAAGTAATGATGCAGCCAGAAGTAATCCATGTGAGTGGATGGCTGAGGTAGGTAGTGAAAAAGAACCCTGAAATTGAAGAGCTGAGTTTTAAAGGAGAAATGGTTTGGGAACAGCAGCGAAGAACAAGAATATGACCCCTCCTCTTAGATTTAAGGGAGGAGTGCTGCAAAGGAAAATGTCCTCACGAGACCGGAAGGGACTTCCAATAAAGCAAGAAGGTCAAGGAAGGATTCAGAGGTGGAATGTTCAAGGAGAGTAAGTCATTTGATCTGATTGGGTTTCTCGTTTTACAATGAGAGATGATGGTACCATAGCCTAGAAGGACTGTGGTCATGTATTTTAGTGTGCCTATACCAATTCTACATATGAAGTATGACCACATAATTCTTATTTTTAAAAACACAACCTTTTGTCTAAAATTTCTCAATAAAACCATGAGAATTTTTGTGTGAATTTTCCCCACAAATGAGTAGGATTGTTGAATTTTTAGGTTTAACAAGGTTAAAGTAAAGTTGGATATATTTTATCATTAATGGTTATAAGATTGTAAATTAATGCCTTTTTTCTTTTTTAAAAGATAAACATTGTGAATAATGAAAAAGTTACCAGAGTGAATAAAGCTTTTGTAGATATACAAAAGGAACTTGCACATTTCTCAAAAGGCCTTTCCCTTGAACCTTTGCAGAAACAGCTGGTGAGTAGAAATCAGTTCCTTTTGTTATTGTTAATAAGTTAAACTCCCAACTTTTTAAAGCCAATAAGTTGAATGCAGTTTTTAGTATTTGGCTCTCTGCTATTCTTGGCCTTGTAGTATATACAGCATATTGAGTCATATTCAGACTAAAACATTGAGTCTGAATATGAGAATTTATTGTTTTACTTCCTATGACTAGAAGAAATTAAGTCAGATAATAATTATATACAAGTCATTTTTGTTCACTACTGTTATCTACATTTTAAAATACAATATTTTTTTCCCTTCAGATTCCTCAGCAGTGTCATGAAAACGAACCAGTTAATGTTGATGAAGCGACAAGATTAATGGCTCAGTTGTAATACACTGGAGATACATCAAATACCCCCAAAAGACCAATAAATTAAATGTTTTATACAGTTTTATTTTTAAAAATCTTGTTAATGTACAGGCATTGGCACATTTTTAAAAACAAACTACATAAAAGAGATCTTTCCTATAATCTAGGAAAGTGGAATGTCAGAAGTCAACAAAATGTGATAAACTTAAAGTGCTAAAACAGAAGGCACTTCACAAAATCTGTTCACTGAAACAGTTAATATAATCCTACTTTACATCCTTCACTTTATAAGTGGCAGTGAATGTGTGTTTGGATTGGAGGACACACAAAAATACGGACAGTTTCATGGCAGTAAAAAAATACAAGACAAACAAGTGATGAGCCTTTGGCCAACTCTTTTTGTTTTCGATGGCCTTAAGTCTTATTTTAACTTTCCTCTCATAAGAGGAAAAACGAGAAGGATTCAGAATTGGAAGAAAAGCTGAAATCCCAGAATCTAATTACGTGAGGATGGAAGGGATCTGTGGGTATTAAATCACCTTTTCCCCTGAAAAAAGCCTTTGTTTTTGTGGTTGAAAGAGCCCTTTGTTTTTATGGTTGAAGTTTTGTGAAGTAAAAAAGAAAGTATTAGAGAACACTTCAGAATCAGTGAACTAAAAAGATGTTACATTCATTATTTTAAATACTTAGGTTATTAAGAAGTCTAAAATGTTACAGTTAGAGGTAGATAACAGTCCCAGCTTTCCATGGAATCTAATAATTTAGTATCTGGACATCAAACAGATCACAGACTCCTTCATTATCATCTAAATTAAAGTTGTAGTCATCTGCGGGGGTAGGAGAAAGCCGTAAGAGAGGAAACACTGCAAGCAAAACAAATTCAGTGTTAAACACGGTTTTTACATACGGCTAATTATGTCTAACAAAATACTCTCAAGTACATCTATCCAAATTAAATTACATATAAGAATATTTTACAGTATATAATAGAAAAAGTAATAATGAAATTAATGACATATCTAGTGTGTATTTTGAAAGATTCTCATTTAAAGATAATTTATGCATGGGTATGCATAGTATAGCATGAGAAAAAGAGAAAATTTGTATTGGTTGAACTTGTCACATTAAAATATGTGCTTTAAAAACATTGGTCAGGGTGTCTAGGTGGCTCAGTGGGTTAAGCATCTGCCTTCAGCTCAGGTCATGATCCTAGGGTCCTGGGATCCAGCCCTGCCTCCGGCTCCCTGTTCATCACTGGGGAGTCTGCTTCTCCCTCTCTGCCTCTCCCCCCATTCATGCTCATTCTCTCTCTCAAATAAATAAAATCTTTAAAAAAAAAAAATCGGTCAAACACTGTCCTCTGATCCGCTAAATAAGTTACTACTTTGTAAACAGAAGTAGGAACTGGACTTAATAAATTTGCTGATGTTCTGTTCCTACAGAAATGTTTAATCTCAAATGGCTACTGTACCATTTGTTATTTAGCAGTTGCAACTTCCTAGGTTTGGCTATGTTTGTTAGGAACCAGGACTGAATCCAAGAACTTACAGAAAGGTGAAGCTAAAAGAGCTATTAAAGTAATTACAAAAAAAATTTTTGTATTTTTAGGATTTTTAAAAAATTTCAGATTTGGGGCATCTGGGTGGCCCAGTGGGTTAAAGGCTCTGCCTTCGGCTCAATTTATGATCCCAGGGTCCTGGGATTGAGCCCCGCATCGGGCTCTCTGCTCATCAGGGAGCCTGCTTCCTCCTCTCTCTCTCTGCCTGCCTCTCTGCCTACCTGTGATCTCTGTCTGTCAAATAAATAAAATCTTTAAAAAAAAATTATTTCAGATTAGATGACAATTTGGCTAATGTTAGTCATAGTTCAGGTACTTCACATTGGTAGCTTGAAGTTAGCCCTAGTGGGGTATTTACAAAACTGGGTTTTGAGATTACCGATATATTATTTTACTCTTCTTGGCCAAATTCTTCAGATATGTAAAGGGCTAGTGTGCTAACTGTAGAAATTTAGTCCGTGATGGTAATAAGTATTCCCTTTTGGGCCCTTTTTTCTCAAAATGCAGAAAAATTAAAATTCTGAAGGATGCCTACAATTTACTGTTAAGTGGGAGATTTTCCATAAATCATCATAGTATGTTAAGCAATTAAAAAATACAGGTTCTGCATTTCTTTTAAATCTTAGGCCACTTATAAGTTCTAGAAAAGCATTATTGATATGTAAAGTAGTTAGTAAAATTTTAAACTACTTACCATCAGAAGACATTAGCTCATCAATGATATCTCCACTAATAGTTCCTGCTGGAAACAGAAATGTGATAAAGTTTTGTTACATTTCTGTTTATATATTTTAATAGTAAAAGGCAGTTATATTTAAATGCAGGATATATATAACAGCATATATTTAAACAATTTAAACAGCAGCTTGATTAACAAAACATTGTTAAAATAATAGAATTTTATGGAAAGATGCCTTTTTCATGAGCACCAACTCTGCTTGGCATTGCTTTTTTTTTTTTTTTTTTCTTAAGATTTTATTTATCTATTTGACAGAGACCACAAGTAGGCAGAGAGGCAGGCAGAGAGAGGGGGAAACAGGCTCCCTGCTGAACAGAGCCCAATGTGGGGCTTGATCCCAGGATCCTGATATCATGACCTGAGCTGAAGGCAGAGGCTTTAACCCACTGAGCCACCCAGGCACCCCATGCTTGGCATTACTTTTAAATGTCCAAACTCAAGATGTAGATCGAAGGACTCAATCATCATTCTCCCAAAACCGACTCCTCGGTTTTACAAAGTCAGTGGTATAATTCTCCCAGCCACCCAACCTTAAAACTTCAACTTTCCATTCCTCCTGTTAAATTTATCTCCGGATCTCACATATCAAAGTTATTTCATACTTTGTGTAAACAGTATTTCTCAAATCTTTCCAATCTTGTTACCACCCATTTCAGCTTTAACGTTCTCTCCTAGTTGCATAACTGCAGACACCAGATCTCCAGTCTCCATTGCCTCTAATCCTTCTGCTTCCCAAAAGCATCCTCCCTGTGTTTCCTGTGCTCACCAGTGTACAGTTCTAAGTATGCTACTTCCCTGCTCACAAATCCTCATTGGCTTATGGACTAAAGTCCCAACTCAGTCTGATATTTAAGGTTCTCTCTAATCTGACCCCAAATTATTCTCTCTACTATTTCCAAATACGAAGCTATATACGGAAAATTTTTAATGCTTTGTGGAGGCCAATGTACTAATTGTGTCTAAGTTAAACCACATAAAACGTGTCTGTCTTTATACATTCCCCATTAGATTATAATTAGATCATAAGCTTCTTAAGGAATACATTTCCACTGTGCACCATCATTCGATACCTGAAAGTATAGAAATAGTTACAGAGGAAGGAAGGAGGACAAGAAGCTGAAAAATATTATGTCCAGTTAGATCTTTATAGCCTCATTCTTAACTACTGTGAACTCCCAGAGTAGTAAGACTTACACCACATTCCACTGAGACAAATGCCAAAGGTAAAAATAAACATGGGATTGTACACAATGTAGTTCTTAATGATCTGCATTATTACATCTAGACTGGCATGACTAAGTAAGTCATTCGTTTGGCAACCATTGAGAGAATACCTGCCATGGGCCTTTTATTTGGAATCAGTAAGGAGTTGCTAAATACCTAGACATGTAACCATGGAAAAAATTGAGTGCCCAAGGAAATTTTTATAGTTTAGATGTTTATCCTATTCCTGATGCCCGGTTTTTAGAGTTTTAGTTATTTTCATTTCAGATTAAACAACCTGGGAAGGCAAGATTCCCAAAATTAAGGTTGAGACCTTTTTTCAACTCTATAAAACTAAGCTTTCCAAATAAAAAGTATAACAATAAGGGATATGAAGAAAGGAGGCAAGCATCACTATACTGTACACCCGTCTGATTTTTCTTAAAGGTAATTAGAACACATTTCAGTCATTCATCCTAGAGTGACTAAGAAAAGAGTCTTTCAAAGTAAACCTCTGATAAGAAAAAACAAAAAACCTTGACATATGTAAATCATGAAAATGGGGAAAAATGAACAAATTTCAATTAATTCCAAATGTGAATCCTAAGGAAAACTGCATGCTTAGGCCCATTAACTCTCTTTTCCTTGGTCACTGTTTATAATTATACACAGTCCTAGGCACATTATACTGCATTCAAGTGTATGTGTCTGAATACACAATCAGATTGTATGTCTACGTTCCCTAAGAAACAAATCCATAGTAGTATAATTAAAGGCAGGATCCGTTTTTAAATTTTCCTCATAATACCTGTCCCAGTGCTGGGCATTGCAGGAGACACGAAATACTTATTAAGCTTACCATTTTGCCTCCTGGGTTTGGTAATCGAGTGAGTAACCAGAGCTGACAAATTCAAAAAATCTCACCAACTTGTTTAATACAGTATTCATAGTCTCCCTTCTGACTTTTTAGAACAAAGTCTCTAGGCCCACCTGATGATAAGTCTGTGGCTGGTGTTTGTTGAAGATTTTGGCTTCTTTCAGAGGCACGTTGCTCAGGCAGATTCTGAGTTGCTGCGTTGCATTTCTGTGGAGTCACTGGAGTGGAGGGCTGAGAGGAGGGTTGTGTGAGGTCATCAGGTGGGGGGACAGGAAAAACCACAGGCTTAGACGAATTGGACTCTTTATTTATAAGCAGCACGTGGATAGGTCCCGAATGACTCTTTAGATTGATCTGGTATTTCTTTTGTCCATTCTGACCCTTTAAAGTTATTGGGTATAAACAAATGAATAAATATTAAAATTTCCAACTACCTTGGAACATTAAAAATTAAGATAAGCAAAGCTATTAGGGACTAATTATTTTATAGCATAGAATTATATATAGCAGAGTCAATAAATGTCTGACTCAACTCGAAAATGTTTTGGGAAAGATCCAATTTAAAGCAAATCTGTTACTGTTGATATTGAAGTTGAACTTTTTCCTCAGGATTGTTATATCAGTTACAGATAGAGTAATTTTAACTGATTTTTTAAAGAATAGTGACTGTATATCATTGCTCATTCCTTGATATTTTCTAGATCAAAATCAAATTTAATAAAGCTTGTAATCAAAATGTTAAATAATTCAGTCACTTCTATAATCTTACTAAAGTCATCCAAATTCAGATACCAATACTTTTAGGTAGGAAACTTGAAAGCAGTAATTTGAAAGTGTTCACTCCCAGTTAGCTTCTTCAGCTAATAAGAAAACATTTGTCCCTCTTGAGACAGTAGATCAATTTTAAGGAAACTTATCCTACATACCATTTCTGGAATAGGTACCTCCAGCTGTGTCCCAGAAGGCGCCTGAATGGCCAAAAGTGTATCACCTGGTGAAAAGAATGGTTTTAAACTTTAG